TATGTTTATCTTGCACGATCTGTTGATTTGTCTGTGTCTTCTTGTCTAGCCATAACTAGGCTCTTCTTGAATCAGCTACTAACTATTTGTTGGCCCATTCTCATATCAATATTCTGCGTAATCTTTCTTGGGTTATTTTCTCTGTCTTAACTTACCTCTCGCACTGGTTCCTTATTTATCCATAACATCTCAGGTTGGAACCCTTACTTCCTTTCCATAACGCCGTGCTTGCATAATGTTCTAGAATCGTAGCATATCAGTAGGATTTAGATAAGTGCAATCTCATCCCTTTCTCATTTTGATCGCATTCTTCCTTTATCATTCCATATTCCCCTCTTTAGGGAAGTACTAAGACTTGGAACAATGACGGCCTGCCTATAGATATTTTTCCTCTTCGTCTTTGGCGTCCTTTCACATCATCAATGACCCTACTCTCCTTGCGCTAATCTTTCTGTACCAAGGATGACAAAATTCCTCACTCGCGATGGTGACACTAAGTGTAATTGGCACATACAGTCCCTTAAGCTTAACTTTGCTCATATTGCTTGCTTTTAGCGAAACGTCTCCCTGAATGACCATTCTCTGAATTCATCATGGATCTTCTTTTGTTGTCCATTCTATTATCGTCAGAACGTAATATGAAATTCTCATGATGCTGACTATTATCCAATCACTCAGTCCTTAATTCATTTTTAGTTTGTCTTGTTCACCAGTCCATACTGATTTCTATTACTCTGGGATCTAACTTTTCCTTCTGGTAGTCATGTTGGAGTCACAAACTTATTTCTCGAAATAAGGATACGACTTTATGGCCTATACTCTTTTGATGTCTCAAGGCCTGTCACCCCTCTTCCCTTCCTTCACCTGACTATAGACTCTGTAATACTGTCATTTCATCTTTTTTACCGTTGTCATCCATGTATCACACCTTATTCATACTTCCTTATCTCTCTTCTTATTTCCCTGCTAATATTTCTGCCTGTCACTTTCTTTTGAAAACTTCAACATGTCATTCTTTTGCTTTTAGCTCCCTTTGCTTCATCCATTGGCTCTTCGAGTTGCCAAGCATTCTTGTTCTACTAGGGACAGGAGCCATACTAAGGTAATGTTTATCCCTTCAAGGCTTCCACTGCCTATCTTTGTAGTACTCATGTCTAGCTGTACTATTTTAGAGTGCACCATCTGGGTGTCTCATAAAGAGATCTATTAGCATATTTGCAATATCCTTCGGAAATGTCAACTGACGCAAACAATCCATCCATCATTTTGGGTTACTCTAGCCCCATCCGAATCCCGATATCCCCTCCTTTTCTTATTCTACTTCTGTTAACCCCCATAGGGCATATCTGGAATGGGTGTGACCAATTGTACATACCTCTGTTACTATTGAAGGTAACTCAAAACGCTTATATCTCTCTGCCTGAGTTGAAAGTACCGATAATCTTCATTAACTGGTACCTTGTACCCTTTTTTTCACCTTGCTTATATTACTTGCTGGAGCTTATGTCTACCTTCCGATTCTCTTTTTCCTTGTTTTTTTTGTAAAAGTGGATAGGCATTCTTGCCTTAGGGATCCTTATCAAGAAGCTTGCACATCTTTGTATACACATGATTAGCTGAGTACCTCATATTCATCCATCATAAGCATGATGCAAAAATTGAGTTCCTCCGACTCAACTCTTCCACAGCTATATCTCTTACCAACCGTCTTTCTAGATGTAGGTATCGTCGTACTATAAGTAAGATAGAGTTTAGGAAGTTGAGTTCTTACAAATGAGCTCTACCACACGATCTAGAGTAGGAAGAAAGAGTGACAGTCCTAAATGCCCTGCAGCCTCCTATTTATAAGTGTGGTGCACAACACACCCATAAACAAGACTCTACTAGACACAGCTTGTAGACTCCCTAGGATAGAACTGCTCTGATACTACTTTTGTCATGACCCAAACCGGTGGGCCGCGACGGGCACCCGGTACCTTACTCAACCGAGTACCAACATAACGTATCTTTTCATGTCATACTATCATAAATAACTAATCCAGAGAGGCTACCGTGAAATAGGTAGAATACAACAGGTAATGCCAACTTATACATAAGACATATGGGCCTCTAAGACCAAAATAACCACTTGAACACTGAACATAGACCGACAGGGGCATACGATCTTTTACGTACATGACATCTGTCTACAAGACTCTAAGAATACATAATTTTCATAAAGGTCGGGACAGAGTCCCACCACACCAAACAATACACATCTAACTCATACTAACCAAACAAGCAACTCCGAAGCAAATGGAGCGCACTAACATCTTCCGATGAGCTGATAGCCTACTTGGAGGGCTCTCGACCTGTCTATCGGGAGCTGTGGGCATGAAACGCAGCGTCCCCAGGCAAAAAGGGACTTCATTACGAATAATGTACTGAGTATGTAAGGCACATAAATAAATACATAACAGACATGTAGGAAATATAGAGTATATGACTCCACCTGTAAGTCTGGATAACTTTGTAAATCATGAAATAATTATAGTGTCATGCATATGCGTATGGATGTCATGTCGTGCATAGGTACATGTTTCATAACATCATCAGCCTCTGAGGGCGTCCCATCATATCATCTCGGCCACTGTGGGCAAAATCATCAACGTATACTAGCTGATCAGGTGGTGGTGCGTATATAACACCATAACCTTTCCCATATCCCATATACATACATATATATATATATATATATATATATATACACACACACACACACACACATACATATATACGCATATATAATGCCATCTGGTCATGGGTCAATGTACATGAATGCAATGCATGAAAAGTATGTTAATAAAATCTCTTGGAGTGTCATAAGACCATTATGCCTTTGAATAATATAAGGAAGTAAACTTTTTCAACTTACGTATTTTTCTGAGACCCATGAACAGATGAAAGAATAATATGATACATGGAGAATCAAGAACACAAGCATCTCTAGCATTTCTACAAATAGAGTCATTTATGGAAGTTGTGCATTTGCACGTTTCGTTTGCATCGTACGTATCATGCCAAAAGAAAGAAGGGATAGCCTTAAACATACCTGGGCCGATTCTCTTGACAATCCCTCTAACACACGTCTTTTGTGACGAAACACATAACGGTTGATCGAAGTAGGGAAAAATCCGTCACTTAGAAGACCTCACTTTCATTCATATGGCGTGACAACATCTGATTGTAAGATTCAACACTAGTATACTGGTATAAAAGTGGCTTGCAATACAACCAAGCTCAATGCAATAAAAGTTCCCACTTTTCTCATCAAAACGTATTTGTCAAGAGCATGAGCATTACTTATAGAATCTCTTTGCCTTAAGCTTAATCATGGATCTGCCATGAATTTATCTCATTCGATTCCATAGGCCAAGGATTCATCTTCATCCTAATGCAAAGATAAGTGTAACCAAGCCAAGCACAAGCTTTTAATCCTTGGTGGTGTGGGCCCCATTTTTGGGGTTTATTCTATTCAAAATTGCCCTACACATGACACCTAACTATCAAGACCAAAGAGTCACAATTACCTCAAGGACTTGCTGCCACGTTGGGAGATTTATTCTTACCCAAATATTTGAATTAATTATTCACTAATCACTTGATTAACTTGTTAATCTCCCATTAACCAATAATTAACCACTTACCCATATAATTAAGAATTATCTCAAATTATTAATAGCACTCACTTTTAACACACCTTACTATCATTGCCATGTGGTACCTTGTATGGTACTAGTCCATAAATTCCGGGTATTTTAGCTCGGGCCGTATTTTATCCCAAAATGTCAAATTTCGACGAAATTCATTTTTTTTGATTTGCTTACCTTCTCACCTTCATGAATTTACTAATCACTTGTTTGAAATAGCATAATGCTTATAATCTCCAAATAATCTTGTCCTTGAACTGAGGTCAATTATCTTACGACAATTTCACGTATAATACTACAGGGTGCAACATCGTCGTAATTTAATACTGCGAAGCGTAACGTCATCGTAATGTAATACTGCAAGGTGTAACATCATCGTAATATAATACTGCAATGCATAACATCATCGTAATATAATACTGCAAGACGTAATACCGACGTAATATTGTGGGGCGTAACAAACATGAAAAAGAGCTTCATGTTAATATGCAAGTTTTGAATTACATGCAAAGATTTTCTGTAAAAATGCACTACTTTATGCATGAATATTTGTTCCAAAAATTTACATTATTCTGAAAATTGTGTAATATTTTTTTATTATTGACGACATTTAATTAGAATAATCTGAAAATTTCCTTAATCAAAGGAAAATGCAAAAACTCCTATTTGGCCATATTGGGTAGAAAATCGAAAGTCAACATGTTGACGGGCTCCGATTGACCTGAAATTTAGTAGGTCCATGCGAAATGGCTCAGTGGTCAATACTTATCAGCTTTGCTCATGATGTAAGCCGTTTTTCGGTCATTCGGGGTCGTTCAGATGGTGTTTTGGGCGTTTTCTAATTTTATGAATTTTTTTCAAAAAAATTTTAAGTTGTTTTTAATCAAGTGGTGATAGGGATCGTTCCCTATGGACTCCAAGGTTAAATTCTGGTGATACAATTAATTTACAAGTTGACGTAGGCCTTCTTCCATATCGGATAAACTCATTGTAGCTAATTACTAGGTAATACTGGTTGTTGATTTCTTGTATTTACTCTCCATGATGTATGTTGGTTCAATGGGACTAGTATCTTGAATGTTGATATTCACTTGACTTAAATTAACAGTTTACTCTCCATCTGAATAAGGCCTATTTAAATTCATGGAGTGAATAATCTATCATTACATATGTATATTGCAAGAATAGCTTTTTCCCATCGAAACTTGTTGTTCAAGGTGCATATATTATATGTAGTGTGTTTTGAATTTTAATATTCAATATAACATGACTGATTTTGATTTATTTATTTAATTGTCTCTCAGATTAACCATGACTGCTTTCAATCCCATTACTGCTATTCTTACTCAAAACAAACTTAAGGGTCCGAATTATGTTGATTGGAAACAAAACATGGATGTTGTCCTAATTGCTGAAGAGTTCAAATTTGTACTTGATGAGGTGTGTCCAGAAAAACCTGGAGAAGATGCTACGGATGACGAACAGAAAGCTTACCAAAAATGGGTTAAGGCTGATGAGATGGCGCAGTGTTACATTCTGGCATCTATGTCGAATGTTCTGCAACATCAACATCCGTCTATGGAGTTTGCTTATGACATTCTGGAAAATCTCAAAGAGATGTTTGGAGATCAGAACCGTGCAGCTAAGCAGGCTGCTACGAAAGCTCTGCTGAATACCAAAATGGTTGAAGGTTCATCAGTTAGGGATCATGTTCTGAAGAAGATGAGTCTTCTAAATGAGCTGGAGGTCCTTGGAGCTAACATTGATAAGGATACGTAGGTTGAGATGATCCTGCAGACTCTGCCTGATAGTTTTCAGCAGTTTCGCCTGAATTATAATATGAACAAAAAGGAATTGTCACTTGCGAAATTGCTGAATGAGCTGTAGTTGGCAGAGACTATTATCAAGCGACAAGCTCCTCCTGTGGCATTGAATTTTGAGATAGGTTCTTCTTCTAAGCCGAGAGTCGGGCAGAAGAAGAAAAAGACTCAAAAACCCTCTGTTGGAGGCGCTACTGCTGGTGTGAAAAAGCCTAAGGGCAAGTGTTATCACTGCAAGTAGCCTGGGCATCATAAGAAACAATGTCCGGCTTATCTGGCCAAGCTGAATAATAAACCAGATGATTTACATCTACTTATTATTGAAACTCTTTTACCGGCTGTTACATTGTGGATAAAATGTTGATTATAGGTCTTATCCGCAAGGGAACATGTGAGGAATCTAGTTCTGAGGGGGAATATTAATTTTGGGTTTGCCATCATCAAAAAGGGGAAAATTGCTATAAGTTACGCTATATCATGTTTTGATGATTTTCCAAACGTCCTCGAGGAACCAGGTAGGGACAAGATGTGATCAATACATGTAAGAAATCTAGTTCTCAGGGGAAATATCAATTCTAGGTTTGTCATCATCAAAAAGGAAAAAATTGATAAATTATGCTATTTTGTGTTTTGATGATTTGCCAAACAGTCTCGAGGAACTAGTTGTGATTAGTTCCTTTGGTCTGGTTCTTGGGGGGAATATGGATGATTCATAGGGGGAACAATGTGGAGATCTGGTTCTCAGGGGGAATATCAATTCTAAGTTTGTCACCATCAAAAAGGGGGAAATTGATAACTTATGCGTCTTTTGTTTTGATGATTTGACAAACCTCATGAGAGAACCAGATAAGGAACCGGATACAATTAGTTCCCTTGCGTTCAGAGTAACTAGTCAGATGTCTGGTTCAATTCTCAATGAAATCAGATAAGGGAACAACATAGGGAACAGATAGGGATCAATTCCCTTACTCGTCGTGCAGTCAACTCTACAACTGTAAAAGCTACTGCGGTGTACCGTCTGGCAGGGTGCTGGACTGTACCGTCTGGCAACAGTACAACAGCATGGCTGTAGCTTGCTAAGTCCAAAATAAAGGACACTTTATTGCATCATCTTTGATGATCTCATACACACATATTGTCAACATGAGGCAAGGGATTTCACTTTCTAACAATTGCAAATTCGAAAATTCATATCCTCTCAAGTGCTTGCCACCACCTCTCTCAAGAACAAAGTTGCTACAATCTCAAGGACCAGATCAAGAGATTGAAGATATATTAAGTCCTAGGTTTGTTGAGTTTTTGTCATTTTGTTCTTCATTTGTAATCCTACACTACTTTCAAGAAGTGTCTTTGTAGGATAGATTTCAACCATTATTTGGTTTGGTTTCTTGACTAGAGTCAGTCAAGATTTGTTGCTTTGTAATAGAGTTATTGCAAATGGCTTACAATAGAGTTATTGCAATAGGTTGTAATCTGAAGTTTGCTCGGTTTAGTGGAGTTGAAATCCTACTGGGGTAGGTCGTGGTTTTTAATCCCTTGAGCAAGGAGTTATTTTTACGTAAATATCGCGTGTTCTTTATTTACTGCATATTTACTGTGGGAACAGATAGAGAACACCTGGTTCCCTATACTGTTTGGTTTTACTTTCCGCTTATTTACTCTGGGAATAGATAGAGAACCGGTTCTCTATATTGTTTGGTGGATTCCTAGTTTCTATCATGAAGGTTCACAAGAGAAAAAACATGTACCCAAGAAGTAGTACATCTGCCTATTAGATAAGCCATCTCTCGACCACTAAATAAGTTAAGATGTCCCTCTGTCAAGTATATTCTCAAGAAATTCTATGTTATCACTTATCATCCTATCTCTTAAAGTTGAGTGACAATTTTGCACAAATATAGGAAGTGTCTTTTCTTCAATCTGCTTGTGACTGCAGATTCTTTGTAGTTCTAAAAATGAAAAATTATAAAAGAATGACTACAGATTCCATGTAAGGACTACCCAAAATTCAGAAAAGTGTTGAATATGTACCTTTTCCTTTTCAACATACAGCAATTTCCCTGTTGGTAGGTTTACACCCCAAAAGCTATTCGAAGATAGGAGGATTGCTCGAGCCTTACAGATAGACTAGGGATCTCATCTCAGTCCGATGTAGAATTCATTCCATTCATCACCCCCTTGACGCCCAGATCCGGACATTCTTTATCCGGGGTTCTATTGTCCGGTCTGGAGCGTACGCAATCATGGATCGAGGGTATTTTCACCCCCTCTTCAATTGGTCGGGGGGCATTCCGCCCCCTCTTCTAGGGGCCCACGTCGACCACGGGCCTGCCGGTTCACGAACTTACATCCTAATTAAAGTTAAAATCTTATAAATTGGTACTCTCCCTTCATGTAATATGGTTATTGCATGTATACACTTTCTGTTTCCATCACTAAAGCCGCAGTAATTTTATACTAAAGCTCCTCTGCCAGTATGTTAATTTATCAAATAAGCTAGTAATCGCACAAATCATTTACCTTAGTAGCTCCAACCAGTAGCGGAAGGAGGATTTTCACCAAGGGAATATAAAAATAAAATAAGTAAATATGTGAAGAAGCTAAGGGGATTCAACATCTAATATATATCCATGAAAAAAAATGGTCTTATATACACAATGTAATTTTCGACAAAGAGGGTTCGACAACCCCTTCCGCCCACCTAGCTCCGCCCCTAGATCCAACAACATAAGGACTAAATAGAGAAGATTACAAGAAGATATTTATCTAAACGGTTTACTTTTTTGGTGACATAAGCTACAGAATTAAGTGAGAGAACTCAATAGGTCCAAGAAAATAAAAGCCTAATAATTTGGAGACTGAAGCACAATTGGCCAGAGAGCATGTGCTTCTATTTTTTTCTTTCAGAAATTAGAGTGTAAATTGACTAAAGCTAGCGCCAGTGTATGGAGGCCATGGCTGCAGGGCTGGATCTATAGTGTTCGGTGTTGAGAAATGAATATTTTTAGCCGCTCTCAAAAATAATAGCTGATATATTTTTTTATATATGTTAATATACATATAATATTCATATCTTATACACTTGTTGGTTAGCGAATTAGTTTTGACCGACCGATCAATTTGTATTTAGGCCTTAGGTATTGTGTCATGTAAACCCAGAAACTTTTGCTTAGACCTTGTATTTATATTAGGAAATCACTAAACACATACGTGTATTTCGCTCGGAAGTTGGAACCAAGTCCGTTACGTTAGTTCAGTTATTATTGTATGAAATTACCGTAGGGACCGATAAACTTCAAATTCTGAATGCGTCTCTCACTATAGGCGGACTTTAATCAATAGGGAGAGAAAAGAATAAATGACAATAGTGTACACTGTACAGAATCACGAGCAAATATATTCATGTAATTGCTGGAATTTGTGAGACCAAGCTCATAAGGGTACTAAAAATGGTGGATTGGTACAATTAAATTGATAAAAATGTCATGGCCTTATCGAATCTTGTGGTCCTAGTCCTTGTTTATATGTCTGTTGGACTCTTCTATAGCAAATTCAGCTTCAGCTTGAGGCTACATATATGCTTGTATCTTATGAAATCACGTGAACTCATTGTTGTTATCCACACTTTATATATGTAAATCTACTAACTAATAAATATTTAACTATAAATTTAGTTATTATTGTTTATTAACTTGAGCGGCAGGAACTGTTGGGATTGAAGTTTGGTGAATGGGAAATGGAGGGAAGAAATGTGAAGGGAAAGTGAGCTCCCTTATGCTTAGAAAAGAGAAATTATTCCTCGTTGGTGGTAGAAAGAAAATAGAATGTGCTTATATTGAGAAATTACTTCCTTTGGTGTTAAATAGGTTGGAAGGAAGGTAAGCCTCGTGCCGGCGTCGTCGTCGCTCGCTCGGCTTCGGTCAAAGATCGATTGATTTAATTTGATTAATTATTGAAACGTCAACCCGGACGCGACCCGGTCCATTTCTTTTCCGGATTATTTTAAATTCTTTTCCCAAAATATTTTGAACGTTCCCACCTCTTCCAACAGCCATGGCTGTTTCTGAAAGGTTGCAAACTTTTCAGAAACAATGCCAGAAAATGGCTATAAATATGGCTTGATCCCAGAATTTTTCCTTACGAAATTTTCTGAACTTCTTCTCCTTCTTCTGCACAAATAAATTTCAGTGTGATTTACAGCCATTAAGTGGTTCGTTGTTCACCGGCGTTTTTGGTACTGATACACTGGTGAGTTAAATCGTTCTATCCTGGGAGGATAATATTACAACACCTCAAGTACTTGAGGGGAATAATTTCCCTAAGAACATACTGCGTATTCAGTGGGCTCGATTTTATTCCGAAATATATTTTCAGATTCTGTTTTTGATTATATACATTTCTACTTTACTACTGTTTTTCCTGTTTCTGATTTTGTTACAGGAAATTTATTATTTCATAATATATTAACGTAATACAGATTACTAACAAACAGAAACTCCTATATTTTAAATCATAGATTGGCCCCTACTTGAAAGAGTACATATAAGTTTGTCATTCTTGGATATGTCATTGCTGCGGTGCTTCTTGGAAAGATCATCAGTAGCAGGATGAGGTCAAAAATGTACTAAAACTCCCAATTGAAAAAATGATAAGCATATGCAAATATTATAGAGACAAGACCTTATGATCATATAGAACTACATGTTGTTTTCAGCCCATGTGCATTAAAAAAAAACATAGTAACAACTTTTCAGAATTTTTAGGAAGAAACCTATCGAGCCCTGGATATGGAGTCGCCTTTGTTAGGGATTTACCTCTCAAGTGTGGGACTTTCGGAGCGAATCGGATTTAGTCGGATCCCATTGCGGGTGCGGAACACCGAGTGAGAAAAAAAATAAAAAAGGGGAATGTGGATGCTATCTTGTCAATGCCTCAATATTTCTGGAAAATTTTGCAGAATTTGATAGTATCATATGTTCTTCAGCATGTCTAAACATGCAATTATTAGTAGCAACAAGTTTTGACATATTCCATATAATAATCATAAGTGTGAAAAAGAATAGACAAAAGGTTTTTTCTTTTTTGAGATATAATTGGTGCCTAGGCCAACACGAGTGCATCTAATTGACCATTTTTACGGATATCTGTTATCTTCCATTAGTATACGTATGAAATAACTTTATCCATTAGGACTTAAGTAGATCAAAAGAAATCTTTATTTGAATTCTAACTCAATATTTTGATAATTTTCACTCACTTCATTGAGCGCTAGACGAAATTGCGGCAAGAGATCCTATTTGGAGCAGTCTCAAAGACTCACTTCCTTTCTCTTTCTCAATCTCCTTCCTTCTTTGTTGCTTTGTTTGAAAGGTAAGGTCTTTTGCTTTATTAATGCATCTTTGAAAGGACCATATTTGTACTAATTAACTGCAGTATGGATTTTTCGATGGCGTGACATGAAAAGATTTTTTTAGGTTAAGAAATACACATTGTCTGTATAAGAATATCATCAAATTATTTTTACGTGTTATAACTGGTAACTTATCTTATTTTCATAATTATAAATCTCACATTTAGGGAGACTTATTGTATAGGGTCAAATTTGACCCTCAGTATCTCTACGCCGGTGGGTACGCCCAATGAGTGTACGCCGACCAACGTAGCGGGTACGACTCGGCCGTGAGGACAAAAGCGACATCGTTTAGAACTCAGCATCCACAATAGGGAGACATTACCTATCTTTGTAACTTTTTGATTCTTTCGAGGAAGGTCTCCTATTATATAAAGGAGACCTCCACATTGTAAAAGGGGGATCGGATCTAATACAACTCTCTCATTTTTCTGGCTTTCTCTCTCTATATCTCTACCTCTAACGAAAATATCTTATTGGTGAACATTGTCACTCTGCAATATTAGATCTACAACAATATTATCATCTTTGCATCTCTAGGCTTATTATATTTGATTACGATTTACCCCTCTTCTATTTTTGATTGTTTTATCGCTTACAAAGTATATCATTAACTTTTGAGCCAAACAATTTGGCGCCGTCTGTGGGGATTTCGAGAATCA